CCCCAAATTCAAAGACCCAATTCAAAAATGGGCATCTGAAATGAACAGACATTTCTCAGACAAAGAAGTAAAAGCAGCAAATAAATATAAGAAAATGTTCGGCATCACTGGTCATTCGAGAGATGCAGAAGAAAACAACACTGAGACTCCACCTCGCCCCAGAAAGAATGGCTGCTATCAAGAAAGCAATAACAAATGCTGGTGGGGTGTGGAGAGAAAGGAACCCTTCTCCACTGTTGGTTGGAGTGCAGACTGGTGCAACCACTGTGAAGGTCAGTGTGGAGATGCCTCAAAGAACTAGGACTAGAGGTCCCATTTGACCCAGCTATTCCCCTGCTGGGGATCTTCCCCAAAGAATTAACAGAATCATACCACAGTGATATATGTGCACCCATGTTTATAGCGGCACAGTTTGTGGTAGCTAAGGCTTGGAAACAGCCCAGGTGCCCATCAACTGTAAACTTGATAAAGAAGATGTGGTTTTTTTATAGAATGGAGTACTGCTCAGCCATGGAGAATGAGGAACTGGAGACATTTGTAGCTGGATGGATGCATACTGAGGCCATACTCTTGAGTGAGGTGGATGGGACACACATATGTAAATACCGAGTAGTTTCTCTGGTGTGGGAAATTGAAGGTGTAAATAAGGATTAAAATGATTAAAATGAATAACTGATAATTTGAACTAGGAAGGGGTTCAGGGGTGTAGGGGTGGTGGGAGGAGATGGGGAAAGGGAAGAAGGGAAAGGAAAAATTATGAGAAGAGAAAAGAAATGGAAACAAAGTCTATGTGAATGGGGAAGCATGGAGGGGGTGAAGGGCGCACAGGTAATGGGGGAAAAAATAAGAACCAAGATACATCATGTTCAGGTACAAGCACCCAATGATAAATGTAAATCCATTGTATACCTAAAATGTACCAATAAAAAAATTTTTTAAAAAAAGCTCATGTGTTGAAGGCTTGGTCCCCGGTATGGCAGTGTTCAGAGGTGGGGCTTTTGGGAGGTGACTGGAACGTGAGGGCAGTGCCCTCTGTAATAGAGTAATCCATTGACAGGTTCATAGCTTAGTAGGCTATTGCGAGGTGGTAGAAATTTAAAGAGGTGGAACCTACAGAGGAAGTAAGTCACTGGCGGTGCATCCTTGAAGAGGACATCTTGTCCCCAGCTCCCCTTGTCTCTCCCTTCTCCTCCTCCTGCTGCTGCTCGTCTTCTTCTTCTTCTTTTTCTTCTTTTCTTCTTCCTCTCTCTCTCCCTCCCCCTCCCTCCCTCCCTCTCTCTCCCTTTTCCTCTCCTTCTCTCTCTCTATCCTTCCCTCCTTTCCTCCATCCCTCCTTCTCTGCCTCCTGTCACCACAAAGCAAGCTGATCTGCTCTACCATATGCTCCTCACAATGATGTTCTGCCTCACCACAGGCCCAAGAGCAATGGAGCCAGATAACCATGACCTAGAACTTCTGAAACCATGAGCCAAAATAAATCTTTACTCCTTTAAATTGATTTTCTCAGGTAATTTGTTACAGCAACAAAAAACTGACTAACACAACTAGACTCAGACTTGAGCTTAAAATGACAAAGAAAATGAACAAAGTGTGCTGCCAACATGACCCTGAACATGCAGAACTCCAATGCCTAAGTAGCAGAGCACTGCCTCGGTGGTAGTGCAGGACTATGTAAGAACGTGCAGGAAAGACGGATGCCGCAGAGATGGGGAGTGAGCAGGGAACAGTCTGCACAGTAGCTGACACCTGTGTCCCAAAGGATGACTGATGTTAGCCAGGAGAAGGAACCTCCAGGCAATAGCATTCAAGGCAGAGGAAACAGCCCAGGAAAAGGCTGAGAGAGGAGAGAGACCACGTGTCAAGCACGCCCTCGCACTCGGTTTTCTAGCTTTTCCTTCCCAGGCTTCTCACGTGCTGGTCTGCTCTGGGGCAGGGGCGGTAGAAGTCACCACCAAGCAGCCTCAAGCCCCTCCCCTTTCT